GCATTCTGGCCTTTCATGATTTCATCCTTTTTGTGCTGGTTTCTTCCCATCTTTCTGGGTTTACCTGCCTTTTATCTTTGAAGTTGATGATTTCAGATGGGGTCTCTGAGTGGACATCCCTTCCGTTGATGTTGAATCTATTTCTTTTTTTTTTTTATTTTTTGTTTTCCTTCTAACCTTCTCTCTGCTGTATGAGGCTTTTGTTGTTGTTGTTGTTTGTTATACAGGGGTCAGGAAGCTGCTTGAGGAGGCAGTCTGTCCCTTTTCTGAATGCAGAGGCACTGCTGGGCTGCCTTGGACTCAGCCCAGCTACCATGTAGGCTTCTCCTCTGGCTTCAGTTTACACAGGTGAGATTAGACCTGCCTTCACAATGATGGATGCTCTTCCCCCACAGAGATCAATTGTCACAGGTCAAGCTCTAACTGACATGCTGGCTGCAAAACTCTCAAGCAAGAGGGCTTCAGTTTGCTGTTCTTTGTGGGGGTGAGACCTGCCAAGCTATATCACCTGTCTCCCTGCTTTCAGCTCTCCCTCTTTCTGTGGGGTGGGTAGATCCATCCTGCAGGCAGTCTTGGCACTAGTCAAAACTTTCTTCCAGTTTTGTGCTGACAATTCTTGGTGCCAGGCCAGCCAGAGCTGTCGCTCAGATCTGTGTTGGAAACTCACAGTGCTTTTCAGCCTGGCAGCGTTCTCCTGGACTGTGGGTTGCAAAGGGCATGGGAGAAATGCAGTATCTGAACTGGAGTGCTGAGGGGTAATGTCCCCAATCCTCCAGTCAATTGCACTTCCCAGGTGGGGCAGCACCCCACCCTGCCTTGGTTCACCCTCCTTGGGCTGCACCCTCTGTCCAACCAATCCCATTGAAATGAATCTGGTACCTCAGTTGGAAATGTGGAGATCAGTTTCCTTCTGCATCTCCCTCACTGGGAACTGCACTCTGGAGCTGTTTCTATTCAGTCATCTTGGCGCAAGTCCCCCAGGTGATTACTTTTAAGGAAATCAAGAAGTCCTTAAATATAAAATTCTGTCAAATTATTTGAAAGCATGAGAATGTGACTTGGAATGTTGGGAAATCAAAGTGCTTTTTTGGGATTTCTTTACAACAACTCATTATAAATTGACTGCAAAAATAATGACCATGTAAAACTGCTGTTGGTAAAAAGCAGATAAGCAAACACTGGAAAAATAGGAATGTATTATATGAGTATTAGGATCATGGCTTTTCAGAGGTTTCTGAGGACTTAATTTAACCATGCAATTAACTGTCCGTGGTTCTAATTCCTAAGTTCAATTTTTGGCAACTCACAAGCTTCCTTGGAATTAACTTAGTACTCCCTTATAAAAAAGAAACATGAAATACTTGGATGATGTTTTTCTAAAGACAGAAGATATTTCGTAAGTAATCTTGCACTTTAAGAACCTTTATTAAATGTTTAAATATGGAAAATAACCTTATTTTTTTGGATTCCCTTTTTAAGTAATTAATTCTACCTTAACTGAAGTTAAATAACTATAAACTATAAAATAACTATTTTAGCAGAGTATAACAAATAACTTTAAATTTTTACAATTGAGCCAATTATTTATAATATATGAATACATTTATGAGTAAAGAAATGTTAATACAAAATTGAATTACAAGGAATTGCATCTGCATTTATGCTGCTGCAATAAAAGTAGAATTTCTTCAAAATCCAAATATTAATATTTGGCAATAATTCCCTGGATAAATAGATATCCTTGACAATAAGGAGCATTTGATAGGTGGCTTTCAGAAGGCAGATTCACAATACCTCAAACTATCTGGAAACATATCACAGGTATAAAACATATGATAGGAAAATTTTCTGCATTAAAATACTTTCTATTTAATAAAATAGAGGAAATACTTCTACTTAATGGCACCTAGAATGTCAAAAGCATATATCAAGAAAGATCCTTAGAGACAGACAGCTTGACCAGGAATTTGAAATGCCTGTTAGATAGATTCTCCCAGGGATGGAAGCAGGCTTATGAGAAATGTAGCTGTTTAGGTACATTTCTGTCCCAGAAACAGATCTTTCAGACAGAGGCAGCTTGAGGAGTGGTACTGAAGTGGGAAAATAGACTGTAGTAGCCTTGCATCTCTCTAATAAAGCAATTGTGTCTGGCTACAAGAAAGTTTCATCTTCCAATCACCTTTGCTTGCCCTCAACTGCAGTCCTCACATCTGCACTGTCAATGCGGAAGGCTGATAGACACGTGAAAGTTTATTGCTTAAATTGGTTCTTATATATCTCCCTGTCTATTATTGGCACACATATACTTTACTGTATATTAGTCTAAAATGCCTCACTAGCTACTTGCTTCTGTACTTAGTTTCATTTATCTTGAATATGAACATCAACTAACATAGAATTTTAACAGTGTAAGGATTTCATCCCACTACACCCTTTTCTAAGGGTGTAAACCTACCCTATCTCTTTCTCTCTGCTTCTCTATTTCAAACTATTTAAATAAATGCAATTCGAGTAATTTAATTTGGTCCTCAATTTGGTCCTATAGTGTTATCTGCTTGAAAGCAACCATAGAATCATGATAATTTGAGGAACCATACAGAGGTGAAGTCTACTTTGTTTTGATTTGCATTTTGGAAATTTGTAATAAGTAGACTACATTTAAGATAAATTTTTTTACAAAATTCTATGTAGAGAGGTAGGAATAACTTGAGTATACCTGAGTAGGAAGGGATAATTGATGAAAGATGGTTTTGTGTATGGGGTTAAGGAAATGGTGTCTAGAATTGCTGTAGAGGCATTATACTTAAACAGCAGGAAAGACATCTCTTCTACTGCAGGAGAAAATGATGTAGGTAAAATTATATTAATTGATTTGAAAAGAAGGATGGGAACTCGAGGAATATTTTTTATGTATTTATTCAACTAATATTTATTACAAATCTATGTACAAGACACTGTGATAAGTGTTAGGTCTTTGGCAAGGCACAGTCTGTACACTCACGGAGAAGACAAGCATTAATGGTATAATTTAAGATAAAATAATTGAGGTCTGTAGAATCTGTAGGAGTTGGCCACTTGTAGAAGAGTAGAGGAGATTAAAGCATTTCAGACAGAAGATAAATCTGGTATTAAGTTTTAAATTTAAAGATTATATGACAAATTTAAAATACAACAAAAGTTGGCTAAAGCAGGGTAAGTGTGTGGTGTGTGTGCGGGGACATGGGGGGTGAGGTCCAGAACTGGGGACTTTATATTTGGAACAGGATCCTAATGACCCTGCTGCTCCAAGTTTATCCACTTAATTGATGGATTTAAAAATAGTTGGTTAGATGTGGTGACTCACATCTGTAATTTTAGCACTTTGGGAGGTCGAGGTGGGCAGATCACGAGGTTGGAGTTTGAGACCATCCTGGCTAACATGGTGAAACCCCGTCTCTACTAAAATTACAAAAAAAAATAGCTGGATGTGGTGTTATATGCCTGTAGTCTGAGCTGCTCGGGAGGCTAAGGCAGGAGAATTGCTTGAACCCAGGAGGTGGAGGTTACAGTGAGCCTAGATAGCTCCACTGCACTCCAGCCTGGGGGACACAGCAAGACTCTATCTCAAAAAAAAAAAAAAAAAAAAGAATACTCCTGGGAATTCCATGAAAAAGATAAGAGTAGTACAATCATTTGGAAGATCTGGGACTCTCACTGTTTACCATCTGCATACTGGTACTACAGCATTTTGTCAGTCATAATACACATTCTATTGTATGTCATTTGGCCATTGGCCTTACTATAATGTTTAATTTATTAACAGCTTCATCAATTTCCCTCTTCTTTCACTTTAAGTTATTCTTCCTACCCCTTCTTTCCAATGTCTGCATGAAACTTACTCTTTTTCCAATCTATAAAGGTGGAGGATATCATGGCTTGCCCATGTCCTCTTACCTGCTTCTTGACCTAAAATTCATGGTGGTGTCACTATGCCAATAGTGGCGTTTCAGTGCTAAATAGCTACATTTCTCAAAAGACTTCTTCATTAAGAATATATTTATGTCAGTGCTTTTCTACTGATGCTCTTCCTCTTCCTTTCAAGTGGTTTGTAAAAGCACGACATTTGTTATCAAAGTTTATAGGCAGTCATAGATCTGTAGTACAGCTTATGCAGATGATGCTGTCTTAAAGTACTACATTAATTTTGTGAAACAGTATCTTTGAAAAGGATCCAATATTAAAAACAAAGAAAAATACACAAAATAAAGAAATGATTCATTTCTGCATTGTTTCCACTGTTTTTCAAAATTTAATTCAACTCTTGCATGTCTATGATTCTCTCCCTCCACTATAACTCTATGGAGACTATTGTGTCCTCTCCCTCCCTGCTCTCTCTTCCCTCTCTCTCATCACTCCCCTCCTTCTCTCCTCTTTATCCCCTCTCCCACACAAAGGTGGGTTTCTCCATTTTGGGGCCTTGTTTGTTCATCATTGTCATGTGATATGATAATTATTTCTCCTCGAACTTAGAAATATATTTCATCCTCCCCACTGATTACAGTGCTTGGTCCATGACTAACTTAATAGTAAATGATTGATTTTTGCAATTCACATATTAGAATACCAAGTTTCCTCTTTATCAGACAGTGAATCTACAGATTTCTAAGACCTACTATCTAGGTTCTTGTTTCATGACACATAAATAATGTGACATGCTGACTGAAATATGACATAAGCTAGGAATTGTCCCATAAGGAATCCTGTTCTTCAATTCGATGTCATACAACTGAGCATTACAATGAATGGATGGGATAAAAAGCCATCTTTTTGATGAGTAAACGGGATCATTTTACTCGTTTAGCAAAGCTATTCCCCTCCCCCACTCCATCTTGCCTCATGTCTTTGCCAAGCACACAAGCTTCCACTGAGTATGGACGCAAAAAGTCTCCTTATGTAAGCAGACTCGACATCAGTTAAGAGAGCTCAACTGGATAAAGTGACAGATAGCTTTCTTACCTTGGAGTCGAGAAACCCTCTCACCATTCTCACGGGAATGCTCTATGAAGACTATAGTGTCCTTCGGTAGCTGATTTAAAACAGAGCCGGAAACTCATTCAGTAGCAGAAACACGATCACTACAGGTGTGAAAAGCACACTCTAGAGTAACACACAGTCTGAGTTGCATTTTCTTATCACTGTTCTTCAATACCTCAAATCAAGCATCTAATTCATGAGCTCCACTAAGTCTGAACAAATCATTTGCCCTATTCTGTTTTCTCTTCGTTATATATCCATGCATGCCATTACATTCTTAATGAAAAACAAAAACAAAAACAAAAAAACAGATGCCCATTTAGAAAAAGAGCCTCCTTTATTGGGTGCTAATAAATTATACAAGAGTAAAACTCAAGATTAAGACCGTTGAAAAGTAAAACTCATCTTAGAACTATAGTAATGTAAACAGATGTCTCTTGTATAAAGTGTACCAGGTAGGGATGGGGCTGTTTTCAGTGCCAAGAGAAACTCACACGGGGGTAATCAGAATACATTCTTTGTTTTAGTCACTAAGATTTGTTTTGTAGCAGCATGAATTTCCTGAAATAACGTGGGAGAAAAAGAAGTTGTGTTATACTTAAACTCCACAAATTACTTCAGGCTTTTTGTTTTACTACAAGAAACAAAGTATACAGAAAACCCAGTAAAATCTAAATTGAAAAGATAAGAAAAGATTATTATATTGCTAAGTGTGTATTAAGTCTGTGTTAAAAATCTCAGGGGAAGGGCCAGGCGTGGTGGCTCAAGCCTGTAATCCCAGCACTTTGGGAGGCTGAGGCGGGTGGATCATGAGGTCAAGAGATCGAGACCATCCTGGTCAACAAGGTGAAACCCCATCTTTCCTGAAAATACAAAAAATTAGCTGGGCATGGTGGCGCGTGCCTGTAATCCCAGTTACTCAGGAGGCTGAGGCAGGAGAATTGCCTGAACCCAGGAGGCGGAGGTTGCAGTGAGCCGAGATGGTGCCATTGCACTCCAGCCTGGGTAACAAGAGCAAAACTCCGTCTCAAAAAAAAAAAAAATCTCAGGGGAATGCATTATTTTCTATCATAGGATGTCATGAAAGATAGAGGAAAACAAAAGAAAAGAAAAGCATCATTGAAAAAAATGTAAGCCCATTGTAATGCTAGCTTTCTTGAATTAATTGATAAGTGAAATAGGCCTAAGTTTGAATATCAGCCTCTGTGCTGTGTGTCAGCCATATTGACCCAAATAAACAAAAAACAGCAACAACAAACTTGGCTGGATGGGAGCAATGCTTGCAAGGCATTAACATTGTCCTGCATTGGTGTGAAGACATTGCTAGGCACCCATAGTTCTTGAATCACCCTTTACAAGTCATCTGAAAGAGCTCATCTCATCTTGGCATAGTGTGCATTTTTCTTGTTATAATATGGGCCCCAAATTTCATGTCTATCCATTTTCACCTGACAAAGTAGAGTACGTGGTCTAATTTATATTAATATATTTAGGTGAGAGTGGACCATTCATAAAGCAGAAATAAATTAAATTGAGAAACCCTGCATGTACTTGATTTCCTTAATTTTATTTAGAATTATTCCACCTGCATTCAAAAGCATTAAGTTGTTGCTGTTTCTGACCTCACAGGCATCTCAGTTTCTAAGGATTTTGAATGTAATAAAATAATGAGCATGACTAATCAATATCTCTAATCATCGATACTCAGAAATTAATATAAACAGGTGGAATTGTAAATACTACTTACTCCATTAGACAGTCTAAAAACAAGATTGAATTAAGATGGTTGTCCAAAATCAGAATTTAGAACTGAATTTAAGGTAGTTTCTAACTATGACCAGAAGAAAGGACTTCCTCAATGAGAGAAAACTCATGGCCTAGGATTTGGTCTCTGATAATCTAAAAAACATTACATGCTTTTGGGAAAAAGTGCTCTCTAATTAATCACTTTTAAAAATCAAATAAAGGGATTCCATTCAATATCAGAAGATGTAACAAATAAATACAATACAATAAAATAAAGAAGCTTGTTTTTTAAACTCCAAGATCTACTAAAAAACATATTATCAAATATTTTACCATTAAAAGCAATGGTAAAAACCTCAATTACTCTTGCACCAACTATATTTGATTATGTAACCTATTAATTTAGGCCTTCCATGACTGTTTTTAAACTCATAACAATTTATTAGTTACATTTTAATTTATGAAATACTAACCTTTGAGGTAAGACTTTTTAAAACATTTTTTAATCTACCTTACACTTTGAGGCCGTGTGTTAGAAAAGCAAGAAGTGGCATAGATAATCTCTGGTCTCTTTATATTCTATAAATTTAGAAACTTTTAATGTATATATTTGAGTTGTATAACATAAGGTTTTTATATACATGTGTTATATTTTGAACCTGGGTTTAGACATCCAGGATCCAAAATATATACTCTGATCAAGGCCTTTATCATACTCATTCCAATCACCTGTTTCCATGACCAACCTCCCCATAAACTTTATGCACTTTGATGTTAGAAAACTAACATTTTATACACCTGCAATACACCCACAAAAACTAAAACAAAAATTTTAATTAATAAAGCAAACTAATATTGTTTTCATTTGTATTTTTAATACTTGGCATTTTGATTGGCATTAGAATGCCATGTAGATGCTGAATAAATTTGTAATAAATTCCTGAATGATTAAATTCATTCATTTAGTTAACAAAAAGAAAATAAAGGAAATACAACTTTAGAGTCTTAAACTGAATATCAAATTTAATATTCATTCAATATTAATAAATATTAAATTTAATAAGTAAACATTAAATTTAACATGAATGCTCATTTTTTCCTTTTCTAGAGAATCCCATTTTTATTGATGTGGCAAGGTACCCCATTCAACGTATTTACCTCTCAGAATTTCTTGAAATTTAATGTACCCAGGTGATGCAGTCCTAATCAATGAGCATAAGTCACTAGATGGTCCAGATTTGGCTGCTGTTGATTTTTGCCTTATTTTCTCCTCCTATTCTCCTGTTGGGAAAGTGAAACAGATGATGTTAGGAAGTGCAACAGATGATTATCAACCATAAAAATTAGTCATTCCTTAACGATGGCAAAGTATGGAAAAAGAACCTGGTTCTTAAATAGTGGTATCAGCTGTGGCTTGCCTAACCCCCATCCCCTTCATGTAGGGTAAGAAAAACAAACAAGCAAACACTAATTTTATCATGGTTTCTGTTCATTACAGCCTAATGCAGTCCTGATAAAGTGATTATTCAGGTATCAGTAGGAGAAAGTTGTGCTCACGTGCTTCAGAGAAACAGTAATGAGTGTGAGACATATCTTACCATCATAGAAGGGCAGGAAAATATACAAATAAGGTTTCAAAATATTTTTGTGAAATTGTACATTCTATATTTATGTAAAAGGAATTGCCATGTGCGGTGGCTCATGCCTGTAATCCCAGCATTTTGGGAGGCCAAGGTGGGTGGATCATGAGGTCAAGAGATTGAGACCATCCTGGCCAACATGGTGAAACCCCATTTCTACTAAAAACACAAAACTTAGCCGGACATGGTGGCAAGCATCTCTGGCCCCAGCTACTCGAGAGGCTGAGGTAGAAGAATTGCTTGAACCCAGGAGGCAGAGGTTGCAGTGAGCCTAGATTGTGCCACTGCACTCTAGCCTGGTGACAGAATAAGACTCTCTCTGAAAAAATAAAAAAGGAATTTAGATTTTAGAGTCAAAAAATATATTAAGAATAGTTTCAATTTTTATTAAATGAGGTCATATAGTTTTATAATATTAGCATTACTATACTTCTGATTAGGTAAATAAAGTGGATAAATAATATATAATGTTCTATAAAGAATTGAATATAGACAGAAAAAATCACTTAAGAACAGAAGGCATGAAACTCACAATTTTCTTAGTGAGGGGAGTAAACGGAGATTAACAGAGTCAGCAAACACAATGTCATCAAGACCAAGAAAATATTTTTACCCTCCACACTTAACCCATTGATTATCTGATATAGTAATTTTAAGAATAAAACTTTGCTTCTTCAGCCTTTGATTTTATTAAAATGGATATTAGATTTGAAATTAACCTAGAAAAGTTCATATTTAAGTTTTAATGAATCCTTTCTCTCAGTAGAAATAAGTTAAATAAGTTTATCAAAATAGCCAAATGGAAAGGGTGTGTGTGTGTGTGTGTGTGTGTGTGTGTATGCTCACACACACACATTCCTGAGCATTCATGAGCATGTGTGGGACTACGTGACTATATGTGGAGTTTGGGGCACAAATAGGAGGAAAAGAAAATGAGAAAATTAAGAACTGAAAGGACTGATACTCCAAATTTTGTTTGTATGTTGTGGTTTCTTTATAATTATGCAAGATTAAAACTCAAAACTGAAGACTACATTTTACTGTTTCTTGAAACAAATAATATGAGTTCAGCCTCCCTAGAAAGATCATGGAGCAGAGCAATTCTTCATGAAAGGCTCTAGGATCTGTCTCCAAATCGAATATCAATCCCCTGCTCTGCAGACTCTGGCAGGGTATTAAGTATCAGCTGCCTCAAAGGTTGGCGCCAACCTCCTTCTTCAGCGCACCACAAACCAGAATTAATTGCAAATCAATCGAACAAAGTACAACTGATCAGTAAACCAATTAGTAATTTTAGCTGTTCATCCTGTCTTTATTTACTAGGGGCAAAAGTGGGAAATGGAAGTGCCTTTTAGACCACATGTAAGATTCCTGCTTTTCCCTCACTGCCTTCTATTTCTCTGCAAGCTTATGTTACAAGAATATTCTCATGGAAACGTCTCATAAAGCTTATGTTGCTTAAATATTATGCAAGTAAGATTTTAATTTCTCTTTTTTATTCTGGAAATATAAATTAGCTTTGACAACAAAACAGCTTCTTTACTGGAAAAAAGTACTAGATAATTTATTCTATACAAATATGATACATTCTATTTTAAAATCACCACTTGAGAAAACATTTAATTGATATAACATTTTTTCACCATTTCTGTTACATTACAGTCATCCTGTCTTAAACAGTAGATATATCAAAGTCTCTGATTTAAGGAGAATTAATTTCATTACATGTGCAATGACTTTTTTCACTCTCCTTTGGCATATAAATATAATGTAAACACAAATACAAAATCAATCTATATTTCTAACCTTCTCTGTCACCTGTCAATTCAAAATATTTGCCTTTGCCTGTTAGTGGTCAGAGACTCATATTATTTACTTCCTGTAGGCTTGAGACCTGATGTTGAATATGAATTTTTTCTTTATTACTTAATTACGGGGCAGAATATCAATTTCCAGTGACTCACTAGGCTGGGTTTATATAAAATTACTATGCTTTAGAAAGAAATTAGATTTAAATTAGTATTGCAATTCAGAAGATTATACTTTTTTTAGTCTAGCTAAAGAGAAGATATTTAAGAAACTGCATTGTCTTGTGGGCTCAGGTCATTATTTGTACTGTACTGTGAATACACATAGTAGTAGCTGTGAAAAGTAAATTTTTACCTACACTAGTAAAAATACAGTTAGTTCATTTGTGAACACTTGAAATTTCCATGGAAATTCATTCAGTTAACTGAGTTACAATACTCCTTTACTTCTAGAGGAGTATTGTAACTCAGTATTGCTTAAAAATCAGTGACAGAGAAAATCTAAATGGTCATGGTGCTGCTTTTATTGCTGGGAAGTAATTGATCTACTTAATAATCCTTTGTAGCAGGTCTCTGAAAGTAAATATATTTCAATAGCATATTCTAAGAAAAAGTATAGATTAAAAAAAAAAACAGTAGCAAATAATGATTGTTTTTCAATAAACACTCAAAGCTTACTACAAAATTTATTTAATATTAGCTAGCCTCCTACCATTCTTTTTTAAATAGTATACACCTTCTCTGCTATCCAAAAAAAAAAAAGCATTTTTAGTAATTGTCTTACATTATAGTAGATAATCCAGTCCAGAAGCAAGTGTTAATAGAAAGAGCTCAGAGAAACTGTTGGTGCTAGCCAGCAAACAAACAAGCATCAAAACAAGCAAAGCAATACAAGATGGCTTCTGCAAACAATATGATTGCTGATGTTGGATTTTATGTTTAAGATATTGAATGTTGAATGTGAAAATGATTAATGACCAAAAGAGCGCTATCATTCTATAAGGACTTGGGAACTGGGGAATTGAGTAGTAAGAAGCAGACATTATCTAATGTATCTAACCTAGATTGAGTAGATTTTCTTAGGTGCACTCTGTAATTCAGTCAATTATACTTATGGGTGACTGTCCCACTATGACAGAACTTTAAAATGAAGACTTTCTAAGATCTCACTTTTAACTGATAACTTGTAGGAAGTTTATCAAGATGCATGGGCACATATCTAGGAGCTGTCAAAATCCAGGAGCACCAGAACAAGTATGCATTTGAGGACACTTAGGAAATCCGTTACTAGCAGCTCAGGATTGTAGCTCCCAGTGAAAGCATAGAGAATGAGAGGATGCCACACTTTCAGACGAATTTTTGTTGCTCACAGACCAGGAGATTCCCAGAGGAGGAGCCCCCACGGGTCGCCAGTGCGACTCTTGTGGCTGGCACAGTGGTTTTGCCAGTGCCCCGGCATGGCAGTTCTTGGTGCAGAGTAAACGGGACTGGGTGCCCTTTTGGTCGACGTTTGGTGCTCCGGGAAGGCAGAGTCACCTATTTGGCTGATTGTAAAAGGGACTCAAGAAGGAAGCCAGACCGGAGATTCCCGGGCAGAAAAGCACCATAAATCTTAACACTGCTGTTTTGGCCAGTGCAGTGGGTTGCTCAGATTCCGGCGCTGGGAATCAACAAGTTGGACTTCCACTCAGAGACCTAATTTGAAAGTTGGTAATTACAAAGATGGTAGGTGGATATATTTACAATGATGGGAAGAAACCAGCGTAAAAACCCCGAGAATACCCAAAATCAGAATGCCTCTCCCTCTACAGGGAATTACAGTTCCTCATCATCAAGGGAACAAGGCCTGATGGAGAAAGAGTACATTCCATTAACAGAATTAGGCTTCAGAAGATGGATAATAAGAAACTTCTGTGAGTTAAAAGAACATGTTCTAGCCCAATGTAAAGAAACTAAGAACATTGAAAAAAGGTTTGACGAAATCCTAACGAGAATAGACAATCTAGAGAGGAATATAAGTGAATTAATGGAACTGAAGAATACAAGACGAGAACTCCACGAAGTATGCACAGGTTTTAACAGTCAAATTGATCAAGCAGAAGAAAGGATATCAGAGGTTGATGACCAACTTAATGAAATGAAATGAGCAGACAAGACTAGAGAAGAAAGAGTACAAAGGAATGAGCAAAGTCTCCAATATGGGACTATGTGAAAAGACCTAATTTACATTTGATAGGTGCACCTGAATATCATGAAGAGAATGAATCCAAGCTGGAAAATATTCTTCAGGATATTATTCAGGAAAACTTTCCTAACCTAGTAAGGCAGAACAATACTCAACTCCAGGTAATACAGAGAACACCACAAAGATATTCCTCAAGTAGAGCAACCGCAAGACACATAATCGTTAGATTCACCAGGGTTGAAATAAAGGAGAAAATTCTAAGGACAGCTAGAGAGAAAGGTCAGGTTACCCATAAAGGGAAGCCTATCAGACTCACAGCAGATCTCTCAGCTGAAACCCTACAAACTAGAAGAGAGTGGGGGTCAATATTCAATATCCTCAAAGAAAAGAATATTCAACCCAGAATCTCATATCCAGCCAAATTAAGCTTCATAAATGAGGGAAAAATAAAATTTTTCACAAACAAACAAACACTCAGAGATTTCATCACCACTAGGCCTGCTTTACAAGAGCTTCTGAAAGAAGCACTGTACACAGAAAGGAACAACCAGTATCAGTCATCCCAAAAACTTACCAAAAGGTAAAGAGTATCTCCATAATGAAGAATCTATATCAACTAATGGGCAAAATAGCCAGCTAGCATTAAATGACAATATTAAACTCACAAATATCAATATTAATCCTAAATTTAAATGGATTAAATGCCCCAATCAAAGATACAGACAGGCAAATTGAATAAAAATTCAAAACCCATACGGGTTCAAAAATTCAAAGCCCGGTACACTGTATCCAGATCCATCTCATAAGCAAGGACACACAAAGACTCAAAACAAAGGGTTGGTGGAAGACTCACCAATCAAATGGAGAGAGAAAACAAAAAACAAAAAACAGGATTTGTAACTTTTGTCTCTGACAAAATAGACTTTAATAGTAACAAAGACTAAAAGAAACAAAGAAGGACATTACATAACGGTAAAAGGATCAATGCAACAATAGGAGTCAATGATCATAAATATATATGCACCTAATATAGAAACACCCAGATACATAAGACAAGTTCTTAATGACTTATAAAGAGACTTGGACTCCTGCACAATAATAGTGGGAGACTTTGACACCACATTGTTAATATTCAACAGATCAATGAGAGAGAAAATTAACAGGGACATCTATGATTTGAACTCAGACCTAGAACAAGGAAACTCAGTGAATATTTATAGAATTCTTCACCCCAGGTCCACAGAACATACATTTTTCTCAGTATCACATTACACCTATTTTGAAAGTGACCACATAATTGGAAGTAAATCACTCTTCAGCATTTGCATAGCATTTCACAGACTTAATTGAAATATTAGTTGGCTGTTTGTTTGTTATTTTCTTCCCTTATTCCTTCTTGTCTCTGCTGTTAAGCACAATTATCGGCATAAAAGAGGTTTCTAATACCTATTTTTAGATTACATTCCAGCCTGGGCAATAGAGCAAGACTCCTGTTGTCTCTCTCCCCCTGTTTCTCTTTCTTTCCTTCTTTCAAAAAAAAAAAAAAACACATAACCCCAATCTAGTCATGAGAAAAAAATATCAGAGAAACATCAACTGATGGTCATTCTACCAAATACTTGACCAATACTCCTCAAACCTATCATAGTAAGAGAAAACAGGGGAAGCCTGAGAAAATGCTACAGCCAAGAGAAGCCTAAGGAACCATGACAAATAAATGTAATATGATAGCCTGGATGGCTATTTCATACCTGGAATAGAAAAAAAAATTCAGATTATGAATCAGGAGGTCTGGGGTGAGATGTGAGCTTCTGTAGTTCCAGCGTGCTCCCAGGTGATGCTAGTCCTGATCCTCGTATGACACTCTGAATAGCAAAGCTGTAAGTCACATCAAGAAATAACTTATGTAATTATCTTTAAAATCTGTACTTTTAAGAAATTCCAGAGAATTTAATTCCACTGCTCCTCTTGGTACCCTATTCTAGTAGTTCACAAGTAGAGAGAGTCAAGACATTTTTCTCAACATCTTCAATTTCTGTAATGAGGGAATTTTCTCAGTCAAAACAGAAAACAGCTATTCATATAATTGCTTTAGAAGGTCAAAGACTATCAGGTCTCTTTTCCCTCCCTCTTACTTTCTTCTCAGTGCCAACTTCCTTTAATATTTCCATATGTATATTTTGCCAAAATACATATTCTGCCTTGATTTATTACCCAGTTTTAAGTAAAAAAAAAAAGAAAGAAATCAACTATAAAGTTTAAACCAAGTGAATAACATTTTATTTAATTTTTATGAGAAAGCTAATGTCCTTTCATCACTACCATTGATAAAAAGTACAAAATTTAATGACCAAATCTTTATGAATAGAAAATAACTAGATATTTGCTTTCTTTTTACCATAGCACCCATTTTAGATACCGTGGGTCTCTAATGATATTCTTGAAATAAATAATGATAATCAAAGCAATTCCTAAGAAAAGTAATACAATAAATTTAAAGATACACATGTAGTTTTCCATTAATTGGTCTCTCCACATTTTTCCTAGGTTACGAAAGGAGAGAGCAACCACATTTGTCAAAGAGATTTTTTTATGCCATGGGCCAGTATGATCGTCACAGCAGGCAACATACCTGGGTATTGATTTTTGTATACATTCTGACAATCATATTTTAATTGGTTATTTAGACAATTTACATTTAAAGTGATATAGTTGGACTAGTATTTAGCATGTTTTAAAATTTTTTCTATGTATTATGTTTCTTCTTTTTCCTTGCTATTCCCTTCTCTTCCTTTTCTGGTTTTAATTGAAAATGTTATGGCACTCAAGTTGATCATCTCACTTACTTTTTCAGTTATACTTCTTTTTAAAAAAATTAGCAGTTTTCCTGGAGTTCACATTGTGCACTGTTAACTAATCTAAGTCCATCTTAATTAACACTATGCCATTTCATGCATAGTACATGTATCTTATAATGGTTTTCTCAATTCCTTTCTTTCATTCCTTGTAACATTGCATGTGGCATTCTTTCTATTTATTCATATCCTATGATAACATAAAATATTACTATTACGACTTTAACAAGTTATAGGTAAGATTAGGTAAGAATAAGAAAAGTAATATATTGTACTTTGCTTTCATTTATTTCTTCCTTTTATTTTTTAATGTAGATCCAAGCTTCTGATCTATGTTATTTTGCTTCTGCCTGAAAAACATATTTTAACATTTCTTTTGGGACAGGTATGCCGGCAATGAAGTACTTCTTTCACCTTCAGTTTTGAAGCAGAATTTTACTGGATACAGAAGTCTCTGTTGGCAGTGACTTTCTTTGACATTCTACTCTCTTTTTGTTTTATGGTTTCTGATAAGAAGTTCACTCTAATTTGTATTCTTGTTACACTTTAGACAAGTCATTTCCCTCTCACACTCCTAGGCCCAGGGATTTAATCCAGATTTTTCTGTCTTTGGCTTTCTTCAGTTGTTGTGGGATAGATAAGTGTATGTTTGATGTTGTTGGGGTTGTTATAATTGCTGTTGGTGGTGGGGTTGGTTGGTTGGTTTGTTTTGGTATGTAGCCCACTCTTGGTGTTCTCCAAACTTTCTGGATCATGGAAGGGTCTTGAAATCTGTTATGATGTTGGCAATGTTTTCATCTTTATTTATTCAAGTATTTCTTTTTTGTTTTTTCCTTCAGACCTTCCAGTTACATCTTTGTCATACCTTTTGAAATTCTCCTGCAGTATTCTGTTTTTTTCTCTTTGTTTTTCAGTTAAGAGGGTTTTTTTAAGCTTATAAATTCCTTCCCCCACTGTGTCAGGTATGTTGTTGAGTCCAAAGACATTCTTCATTTCTGTTGCAGTGTTTGATTTCTCGTTTCCTCTTGATGTTTTCGTAGTGTCTTCATGTATCTGCTTACATTGAGCAACCTTCTTACTTGCTGTCTAGTTATTTTCATTAGAGCTTCAATATATAGTTTGAATACTAATCCCAAAATCTAAAATTATTTGTAATGGATCACAGCCAAAAGGCATCAAAACTTTCTTTCATGTACAAAATTAGGTAAAATATCATATAAAATTAACTTCAGACAATTTGTATAAGGTATACATGAAACATAAATGAATTTCATGTTTAGACTTGGGTCCCATTCCCAAGACAGTTCATTATATATAATGCAAATATTTCAAAATCTGAAAAATTCCAAAACACTTCTGGTCTCAAGCATTTTGGATAGGAAATAGCTTGTATTCATCATAGTTATTTTAAATTTCCTATATAATAATTCGATCATTTATGTCTGAGTCCATTTCTCATTATTACTGTATCTATTTAGACTGCTTTTACTTACTTGCCTTTGGCATGTTTTTTCACTTTTGGTTGAAAATTGGACATATGCATCACATCATAAGAGGGCAGAATGTGCTTTTGCATTTAGCAGTCTCTGGTTTTGTGGAATTTATTTCATTAATTGGAAAACAAGCAGGTACCCCACCTGGTTCTTATGTCAGCATCTTCTAGCATAGGAAAATTTAATTGTTGATCTTCATTCTTTCACTGGTCTGTGCTTTTATCCCACCTATTACAGTCAATTGTATTATATGTTAGTTAGTACTCATTGTACTTTGGGTCATCACCTGGAAACCCAAGGTCAAGACTCCAAAAAGATGTTACTTTCACAGGCATCAGAAAAGGAATATAGATGTGAAAAGCTATGCTACTTTATTATTAATCATTCCTTCAGTTAACCCAAGATACCCATCTTGGCTGGCCAAATACATGCACAGCTCTTAAACTCAGGGTTTAGGGAGCTTTATAAATAGAATTTTAGCAAACATGGTGAATGGCTAAATCTGGTCAAAGGTGCAAGGTTCATATAAACAGATTTTCCTTCAGAGTCCAAAGGACTGTCAAATAAAAGGTCAAGCTCGTCTCCTCAAAGGCATTACTTTCCCCATGGTGTCTTTAGTTCCTAATCACCTTTCTTTGCTTTCAGATTTTCACTGCCACCCAAGTCCTTCTAAATGTTCTTGCATTAAATTTCACCCTGCTCACAGGTTAGGGCCTCATCCTGGATCCTTTCTCCTATTCCATTTGCACATTTCTCAAGTGTGAGTCATTTACTCTAGAAATGATCTCAGGATTTCAGCAACACAATAAATGCTGATTATAACACCATATGCTAAATGTAAGAGAAGATGAAAAGAGCTTTATGTGCTCCAGGTTTTGAAAGAAAATCCAGAGTGAGTAAGGACCAACTAGATTGGATTTCAACACACATCATGCTTTAACTGCTTTACTTACAGGACAGAGCATTATTGCATACATCTCCCAAGGATCAATCATGTTCCACGACAGTATAGACTGATGCCATTCAGAAGTAGACAATATTTGCAAAAGTTCCTTTTCTATTCATGAATTTTAAAATTCACATTATGATGTTAAACAATAAATTTTTTTTTAGGGCACTCCAAATATTTGTACTACTATTTTCTACCTTCAATTATTTTTTTTAAGCCAAAATATTATCTTTATGACTGTTAAACACCAAATTGGAAAATGTAGCTTTTAATCTCTTTGCTATATGGGTTTGCACTACTAAATCTCAGTCACAGGTAGAGCTAACCTTGGACAGACCTTCCCATGTAGAAGGGGTCTGTGCAGGTTCTATTTATGATCTGAAAGAGCAGAAGGTAACTCATCTTTCTGCAGGCAATCTTGCACTCAAGAGGAGGAGGACAGATCAGATCTCCGTGTGCTTAGTTATTCTTAGAGAAGTCTATCTCTCTATGTCCACAGCGATTCAAGCAAACAAAGAGAAAATCTTTCAAGAACACTAAGAGAGCATATAAAGTGTTTTCTTCTAACATAGCACAGTATAAGTTCTTACCAGTTTATTCATAACTTCAAAATCCCAAAAGCTCTAATTCTTTTAAGTTTGCAGGAAACTCATTTGACTGCAAAACCTCAACTGAGCAGATGTAAACTATTTATTTACTATTCCTACTTAGGGTCAATATTTGTTATTTTTGTTATAGACATATTAACCTGTTGGCAAGCTGTTGTCTAGTAATTCTGATCCATTCCTCCATATTGGCTCTGAAAAGCTGGGGCTTAAAGTTATCCAAACTACATGTCTTCTCTTCCAACTAGTTTCCAATTATATTGGTACCAGTACGTGGCACAAAAAGCAGGCAGGAGGAGGGAAGAAGGACTTGCTTCTTTACATTTGTTAATTTTCTTAACAGAAACATTTTAACACCTCATTTTCATTTTCAGGTACTTTGGTACATCTAGAATTAGCATCATAGCTTCAGTGGAGCAGTGCTCTTTTCCAATATTTTATATTCTGAAAAACTCTTCTTGCTATTATTTTCTCTGAGTTTCTCAATGCATTCTTCTTTATGCTTTTATATCTCCAACATCTGTGTAACTAATCTATGTTAAACTTTCTTTATTGAGATTTCTTTTTTCAGCTTTCTTGAGGTATAAGTGGCAAATAGAAATTGTACACATTTAAGGTATATAACTTGATGTTTTCATATCTGCATATATTGTAAAATGATCACCACAATTAAGTTAATGAACATATTCATCACCTCACATAGTTACTATTGTCTTTTTTATTTTGGTGCAGTGAAAATAATTAAGATCTATCCTCTTAGCAAATTGTAAGCATACAATATAGCATTGTTAGCTATAGTCACTTGGTTTATTTGTGCCATTCTAACAAAATACCCAAGACAGGATGATTTATAAAGAACAGAAATTTATTTCTCATAATTCCAGAGTGGAAAATACAAGATAAATGTGCCGGCTGATTATGTTGTTTGGTGAGGGCTGCTCTGTGCTTCCAACATGGCACTTTTTCACTGCATTCCTGGAAGGACAAAAATGCTGTCTCCTTACATGATGGAAGGCAGAATGGCAAGAGGGCCAAACAGTGTGTGAAGCCTTTTTTATAAGAGTCTTATGAGAGAAACCCTCATGGCCTAATCACCTTTAAGGACTCCACCTCTTCATACTGTGGCACAGGCCATTGAATTTCTATACCTGAATGTTGGCGGAGAAACACTCAAATCATCGCACTCAGCATGCTGCACATTAGATCCCTGGAATTTATTCATTTTGTATAAGTAAAATATTGTACCCTTTAACACAACTCTCCATTTCCCCCTTCCCCTCTCCCTAGCAACCACCATTGACCAGTTTAGATTCCACATATAAATATGATCATGTGGTATTTGACATTCTTTATCTGTCTTCTTTTATTTAGCTGAGATTTCTTTTTTCTCAACTGAACCCTGATTGATATTGGCATGCTCTCCTAGAATATGCTGGGTATATTATAAAATATGTGGTATATGCATAACCTATCTTTCTAAAATTCAGAATTGCAAAATATATCTCTTTCTAAAGGTTTTGAATAAGGAATTGGAGAAAAGAATTTTTTTTTTTTTAGTGCTTTTTGGATACTTGCATGCAAATTTTCTGAGTCGGTTTTTCAAAAGACAGATTCCTGTGCTACACAGAGATCTCAGAATCTGGGGATATGATTTAGGAGCTAGCATTATCAAATAATCTCCCAGATTATCCTTGTTGCTATGGTTTAAATCTTTTTATCCACTAGAAAGCAAAATGTGTTACATATACTTTAGCAGCTACTTCCTGAAGGCCAAAGAAACTGTGAACCGACCGTTCCAAAATGTCATTAATTTACTACATACAAAAGCCTGTGTTCTAAGTCTAGGCTTGAAGGACGTTTTAGTACATTTTCACACTGCTATGAAGACATACCCGAGGCTGGGTAATTTATAAAGTAGAAAGGTTTAATTGACTCACAGTTTTGGAGGCCTCTGGAAACTCCACAATCATGGCAGCAGTGGAAGAAGCACATCTTATGTGGAGGCAGGTGAGAGCTTGCAAAAGCTGCGGAAACTGCTTTACAAAACCATCAGATCTCGTGGGAACTCACTACCGCGAGAACAGCCTGAGGGAAAACACACTCAGGATCCAATCATCTCTCACCAGATCCCGTGCTCTACAGGTGGGGATTACAAGGATTGAAATTTGAGATGACATTTGGGTGGTGACACAGCCAAACCATATCAGGGAACGGAGAGGAGGTAGTCTATTCTTATAGTTATACTAGCATAACTCTGACTAAGAAAATGAAGTATGTATATTGGTTACAGCACAGTTTGGGGCTGGCTTTCATGGGTACAGTCCTTGGTACTGCAGATTAGAGCTGAGTCATTTTGCACACTTTCTTCTGGTATGTAGCCTCTGGTTCCACTCAGCCTTTGTAAGTGGATTCGTCCAGCAGCTGCTGCTTTTTATGTTGTCTCCTCCTTACTGCCATTTAGGGATGCTTATAGAGATGCTAATGGATTTTTAACAACTGCCCTAATGTTCTACAGTTTCTGAGTTAAGTATGCAAATGAAGCTACGCCTGTAGCCCCTTAGGAAACATTCCTTCTCAATAGTGATTAAACAAGAATCATAGTGTTCAAAGGTTGAAATGAGTTATGCACCCAAATTGCCAGCAAGATAGTGAAGGTATATGAGTACAAATTATATTTAATTGACATTACTAAACAGCAAATAGAAAGCAATCCCTCATGTGATGCAAATATAAAACTATTTAAATATTCTGAATACAAATATGTAGAGTCACACCATCACATACTTAGAATCATAAACGTTTGGCTTGAAGGGACTTTGCCGATACTGAAACATAATCGTTATATAGATGAGTCGTCTTCCAAATCTTTTACATTGGGCACTACTATATTTATGTATTTGTGTGTAAACGTACAAGTACTACTGTATTAATACGATATGCATATTATTAATCCTACAGAAAAAATATGACAGAAAGCACAGAATACACAGGGAAGTTTCAATGTTGTCCTCCTGTATCTCTTTTTTTTTTTTTTGAGACAGAGTTTCACTCTTGTTACCCAGGCTGGAGTGCAATGGTACGATCTCGGCTCACCACAACTTCCGCCTCCTAGGTTCAAGCAATTCTCCTGCCTCAGCCTCCTAAGTAGCTGGGATGTCCTCCTGTATCTCAAAAGAACATGTGGTATGTACCATCAGGTACACACACCTGGAGATTATCAGTCTAGCAAAAGTAATCAACATCCACATAGGAGGGAAAAGCAAATCAACAATACCAGAAATGGAATTTATCCATCATCAGTCCCAGATCTCTGAGGTAAGCATATTTACATTCACTCTACTGTATGTGACAGTCAATGAGAAATCTTGTGTTGTGGGTAACTGTGTCCCCTCTTAGCTAGCTTTCTCTTTTTACTGCCTCATGTTTTGGTTTTATGTTACAAACAGAAAAGTTGTTGAAAGCATCTCACCCACCACATTCCTACTCTCTTTGCCCCTTTCACTGTCGCCTTTTCTAACACATTGTCTGGCCTCCCTACATTACCTTCTCCCTAAAACACTATTTGTGATTATTATATAGATATGTAGTATGAATACCAGTATATGTTTCCAAAAGATAGATTTTCCACAAATTAAAATATTCGATTTAGCTCTAAATATGGAAACTAAAAATATGCAACCCACTGTGAAATGAATTACTCATACATCGTGTGTCACATTTTAAACTAATAACTCCATAACCTTAAAATACAGCTCAATCTTAAAGTATTAATTTTGAAATGATGCATTTGTGCTAATGATTTACTGGGAGGAAAAATCCTTTAATCTAACCTTTTTGCTTATGAACTTGAAAGTTGAACTTTATAGAAATGACTGACTGCAACAGCAGGGCTTTTCACCAGCTGATCAAAATTAACAGTTTCTTTCAATTGTTCTAATTAAGACCAAGGGGAGTTCTGGAATGTACCAGTGGTATCTCAAATTGCTCCCTAGCTTAAAACTAGCTCCTGGGAAGGAATATCAGCTTTTACCTTTCCCTACAAATAGTTTAGTCTAACTTGCTATTATTACTGTTTACTAAAAGGCCTTCTATGAATATATCCCAAGAGAATTTTTTTTTCACTCTATTTCATTAGGTTAGAAAACAAAACAATTAAAGATAAGAAACATAATGATCTTGAGTAGAAATTGGTTAGAAACCAGATGCTTTATCAATGATCTGTAAAATTGATGAGAGCACTATAAACGTGTTAGTATTTTACATAGTAATAATTTTAACTTACTCTAATTATTTCATATATATATACTGGAAGTCTAAGTGGAGAAAACATTTAATTGAATCGTGATCATGGTAATAATATGAAAATTAGGTTTATTTAAATTGTAAGTAATATAAGAGTGCTGCTTTAAAGTATATAGTTTTCATACTAGCTGAATATATCTCAAAAAACCATTCTACTTTTGAAAAGCAATTCTTTCCTACTAAACTGTAGTCTGTTGTCATTCATCATCTAAAGTTCTGACCTAGGTTATTAATAAAACTTATGTACCTTTAAAAATAGTAATTTATGTTAATCTTATGATTTACAATGTTTATTTCTTTCAGGACGTTATTTAAATGGGTTTTCTATTTAAATAAAACATCAACTGTAAAAGTTGTATGAATAATGAAGAGTACATTCAAGCCAATACCAATATTTTCATTACTGAAACAGAAACACGAAAAAGTTTTAAATCTTGACCTATATGTACTTGCATGGCAAATAATTTAGATGTTATTATAAAGTTATTTTAAAAATTAGATTAAAAAATGTTCAAGATCAATCAGTTAAACTCTGAGTATCAAATGCATATGATAAGGAGTTCAGATCCCTATAATTCAACTAAACACCAGCTTGCTTAAAAGTGTGATTGTGTTATGGGTGATGAAAATATGTTGCCTTGCTTCATCAACATTTCAAACCATTTCTTCTTTGCATGTGACAATTCTCAGTTTAAAGACCTTTGAGAGGACATACTCTTTAACCTCATACACAATTGTTAAATAAGTAATTGACTCTTTCAACTCTCATGGTGGTGTTAAGATATAAGCAATCTCTTGTTGTAATTAGCATTCTTTCTTAGGAAAAGGATGATGGCTGAATGGCTAAATGGACTAGCAGTTTTCAGAGAGAATTCCCTTCCCAAGGGCTGGACACAGACTATTTAAAACCACTGTGAAAGAGTCAACAGGATTAACATGGAGTCAACTTCCTTGGGAAATGGAGCCAAAGAGATTTGAAGGAGACAGAATACTTCAAGGCAATCACACTAGTAGTGAAAATCTCCAGACTTACTGGTCCTGTCACATCTAATTTAACTGATGGCATGAACATTAAACAGGACTACAAAGACATTTTTTATGAGCCTAAAGTCTTTTTTTACTTCCTGAAAGCTTAGGATATTTCCTTTTTTTTTTTTTTTTCAAACAAAAACTTAAATGAAATCCATCATAAAAACCTGGAAACACCTTCTATTTATTTAGACATACATGCAAGAAGATTAGCACCTTTAAATAGAAGCATTTTTAGCACTAAATTTTCTACCATTTTTAGGTTTGTCTTTTGTTCAATTTGTAACTCTTAGCATGTATCCTTTTACATTTCTAGTTATAAAGAAATTATTAAATTTTCTTGAAAGAAATTTACATTTTGTGGAACTTAGTCATGTAAATTTCATCAAGGATTTGTGTACTTTCTTGTTGAGAATTTAAATATATAAGTAGAAACAGAACTTCAAGAGACTATTTCATTATCGATACAATGACTATTTCATTGGCAAATGTGAAGTTCAAATATTCTGGTAATGTTAGGTTTTTCCTAGAAAATGTAGAAAGCAAAAATGTAAAGTGTAAAGAGCTATCACTCTTTGTTTTAACTGTATAATTAGGAAAGCATTTTAACTATTAATGACATACAAATTATTATGATGCATATTTAGTTTAGTAGTCAAGAGGTAGATAACAATTAGCTCCTCCCACTAAAGCATTTACGGCATAGTTGGCTAATCAGATATATTCATGATAACTAGGATCTATTAATTACAGATTGTAGAATATGTCTAGAATTAACCACCTTCTAGGTTGAAACTTCAGTACTGATATAACAATTGGGCCAGCATTTTATTCTTCCCTAGGAGAGTTGCAAATGTCAAAACCCCAAACTGCGTCTATGGGAAGGAGAAAGTTTGAGGTTTTAATTATTTATCAAATTCAAACTAGATTGATTTGCCAAGGAATTTTTTTTTTCAGAGAAAATATAAAAATGATGATGATTTTTAAATTACACTTTAAATTCTGGGATACCTGTGCAGAACACACAGGTTTGTTACATAGGTGTATACATAGGTATACATGTGCCATGGTGGTCTGCTGCACCCATCAAGCCATCATCTACATTAGGTATTTCCCCTAATGCTATCCCTCCCCTAGTCCCCCACCCCCAACAGGCCATGGTGTGTGATATTCCCCTCCCTGTGTCAATGTATTCTCACTGTTCAGCTTGCATTTATGAGTGAGAACATGCAGTGTTTGGTTTTCTGTTCCTGTGTTAGTTTGGTGAGAATGATGGTTTCCAGTTTCATCCATGTCCTTGAAAATGAGTTCTCATTGTTCAACTCCCACTTATGAGTAAGAATTTGCAGTCTTTGGTTTTCTGTCCCTGTGTTAGTTTGCTGAGAATGATGGTATCCAGCTTTATCCATGTCCCTACAAGGGACGTGAACTCATCCTTGCTTATGGCTGCATAGTATTCTATGGTGTATATATGCCACATTTTCTTTATCCAGTCTATCATTGATGGGCATTTTGGTTGGTTCCAAGTCTTTGCTGTTATGACTAGAGCTGGAATAAGCATTCATGTACATGTGTCTTTGTGGTACAATGATTTATAAACCTTTGGGTATATACCCAGTAATGGGATTGCTGGGTCAAACAGTATTGCCAGTTCTAGATCCTTGAGGAATCGCCATACTGTCTTCCACAATGGTTGAACTAATTTAAATTCCCACCAACAGTGTAACAGCATTCCTATTTCTCCACATCCTCTTCAGCCATCTGTTGTTTCCTGACTTTTTAATGATCGCCATTCTAACTGGTATGAGTTGGTATCTCATTGTGGTTTTGATTTTCATTTCTCTAATGACCAGTGTGACCAG